AGAAATCGTTTTCCACCAATGACTTCATCCGTATGAAGCTATTGCTGAGCCCAACCATCGATAATCATAATGATTCAAGTCATATAATAGTTTTTAGAGAATTTATATCTCTTCAATGAGTTTTCTGAAGACATCTGCAGATATCGTATTTCCAATTGATTCAATCGCGTAAGGAAATAGCTCTTAGGACCAATCTCTATGGTAGATGTGAATAATTAAAAAATTAATACGGCTAATTGAAGAAGGAACGTAGTTCTATTGAATTATATTTCCTGAGTATGGATCTGTAATTCATCACGGTAAAAATATCACTTGAATTTCAAAGGAGAAGAGCACGAAGATAACATTACATTCGATTTGACTTCAAATTCGTAAAATCATAAATCCCAAACGAGTGGGCAAGAAGTTGACATTACCCTGATGTGTTTAACGAAGTTCGCTGAAACTGCATAAGAACCGTCGATTCGCATTCCATCCCCACATAGCTGGCACTCAGCTTGAACATTCTCTTTCCCATCTAAGTCGGATTTCTCGAAATCAACTTGGAAATAAGTCCCATCTAAGTATCCTCGTTTGTAACACTGTTGGTGTAGCCAACGTTTCCTTGCAGTTTCTTCGGGATACCCGTCTTCATTGAGCTCAGAACGATTGAATTGATGAACAATTTCAACCGATGGGTTGCGTGATATCTGCTCCGGTGAAATTTGAGCATCGGCGACATTCATTGGCTCATATGTCGTCGTGTCGCGGGATTCATCCTCAAGAAGTCGATGGTCTTTTTCGACTGGATCCTCATCTTCTTCATCGTCAGTCGATTCAGTGAAAGAAATCTCACCGGGCGAATACTCATATCTATCCGGATCGTATCCGTCGTTCATTATTTTGACTCAATGGAATCCTGGAAGTTAAGGATCGAACAAATGCAATAGGAAATTATAAGGAGAGGAGATTTTACGTGAAAAAGCATGCAATTTTACATAATCAGTTTAAATGGAATTCCTGTGTAACATTTTGAAAAATAAAAGCAATTCCAAGAATAGCCAAAACTAGGGATTCTCAGAAGAATGGCACTGCAGTCGATTTACAGGGAGAAGATTATGAGATTCAAGATTTTATTGCAAATTCATGACATTTAAAACTTGTGAATCACAGGAAACCGACAATTAGTTCAACTCATAATATTCGATCATGCCATGAACGTTTCAGGCCAAACCACACCGAATGTTCTACACTGAACTTTTCAAATGAGGAGAATTCATGAATAAACTCGGGTAAATTTTATGGATATATATAGATTTTTCTTAACCTCCATGGAATAATTGATCGGAAATTTACCATTTCCATTGATTTATTTACCAAATTCCGAATTCTCGAAGACCAAATTTCCTCGAAACTTTGGCAGAAACATTATGTGCGAGAAAAGTCCTACTGTCCTACAGGTCCTACTGTATTGTTTAGCAAAGGGTGGAGGGTATGACGGGGGATGGAAGTGGGTGTTAAACAAGGGAGATTTGAATGAGAACTTGTATGAGATACATTCAATTCGATATCCAATATCACGATGAGACAGTGACCACTCATAAAGCCGTGCCTTTTTGAGAGGTTCACTATTTCTGATTGAAACAATATAATCCCTTTGGAGATGGAAAAAGAGAAAGAAAAATTGATATAAAGTCATCTATCACTATCGATGTTGGAGTGACTCTAAATATTTTCCATCATCGTATGGGTGATCTCGTTTGACAATATGGATTTTGAAGGATGCGATATAGACATGAAGAAATTCGACAATCGTATCAACTTAAAATACGAATAGTGAATTGTACTTACTGCATTGACACTCGTCGAATTGGAATTGACACTATGAAACAATCACACACGACAAACAAAAGTACAATACACTTCACGACGCTGTCGGTACAGTGTCTCGATGAAGAATGCACTCGAAACAAAGAAATCTAATGCTCATCTCTAGATTTCGGCGAAAAGTGGGCGGAGTCACGTTGCGAATACACTAATAGGAAAAGAAGACAAAGTACTCCTGAACCGCTTCCGATTGTCGATATTTAATTTCATTCATATTCAACAAATCCATTGCTAGAAATACTAAAACTAATTTGCTTTCCCCATTAGTGTTTCGGAATACAGCATTGGGAGGTATGGAGTGAATTATTCTTTTTGAATATTACTTATTTCTCGTGACGACTCATGATTTTATAAACGGCAACATCGCATTCCTAGAAAAAAGACGAGGTGAAAAGGGGTGAAAATGCTGTGAATTCTTCGATGAATCTCTGAATCTCCTTGGGGGAGTTTAATTCTTTTGTTCATCGCAACTTCAATCCTCACCCCTCCCGCCACTAATTTTTTCATAAACAGTCGCTACCTCATTTATTTTTTTAGATAGTCTCAAAACAAAGCAACCCTCCCCCTTTTTCGAAAATATCTCGAAAACTAGAAGAGATAGCGACTTGCTACGGAAAAATTTTGGGGTGCAGGGGGGGGGGGAAATTAATTTTTTTTGTTCATCAAAACTTCGATCTTCCCCCGCCACCCCCTCCCTCAATTTTTCTATAAAAAAAGTTGCCACTTCGCTTATTTTTTTAGATATTCTTAAAACAAAGCACACCTCCCCCCTTTTTTCGAAAATATCTCGAAAACTAAAAGAGCGACTTTTTACGGAAAAATTTTGGGGGTGTAGGGGGGGGGGATTATTTTTTTGTTCATCAAAACTTCAACCCTCCCCTTCCCCCCGCCACCCCCCTCGCACAAATTTTCCATAAAAAGTTGCTATCTCGCTTATTTTTTGAGATATTTTCGAGAATATCTCGGAAACTAAAAGAGATGACGACTTTTGACGAAAAAAATATGGGGGAGTGTAGGGGTAACTCTAAGAGAATTAGAATTTAGAGAGAAAAAATTTCCGCTTCACCCAGCCGGGAATCGAACCCGGGTCTCCCAGATACGCGCCGGGCACTCTTACCGACTAAGCTACCGGGAACCACAGAAATTCACTCTCAAATTCACC